GGGACAGTGCCATGGGGATGTGGCCGTGGGGCTTGCAGGGGTGACCCGTGCCAGCCCGGGGTGGCCGCGGTGTCCCCGTGTCATCCATGTCACCCGAACGTGGCGCGTGGGCGGCTGTGACAGGGCTGTCCCCTGGGAGCCTCTCCAGACCTGCTGGGGACAGTCCCCGAGCACTTTCCCACAAGCACTGCTGTCCCCATGGGGACAGCTCGGGGACAGCCCCCACACCCCGTGTCCCCGTGCTGCTGTCCCCACAGTGCCACCCCCACTGAGCCCTGTCCCTTCTCCCTTCCAGCCCAGACCCTCGGCCTCGCTGGTGAGTCCCCGTGGGATGCCATGTCCCCACCCTGCTGTCCCCAGCCCCGTGCTGGCCCTGGCAGGCTGGTAATGTCACCGTGCTGGGTGAGCGGGACCCTCGGGCTGGGGGTGACCCCACCCACGGCACCCCCATCCCACCTCGCCTGTGCCAGCCCTGTCTGTGTCCCCGCAGTGCCCGTGGCCAATGCCACCATCACCCTCAGTCCCCCGGCACACCAGGTGCGCGCAGGTGACAACGTGACCCTGCGCTGCTCGGCGCAGGTGGGCTCAGCCCCTGTCACCTTCACCTGGCTGCACAACGGGCAGGAGGTGGCCCGGGGTCCCCTCCTGGAGCTGGGGGACATCGATGTGGGACATTCAGGCACCTACCAGTGCGTGGCCACCAACCAGCTGGGACAGGACGGGCACCGCGTGTTCCGGGCACTCAGCCCAGAGCTGGCACTGGAGGTGACAACGTGGGGACACGGGCACACAGGTGACGTCACTCGGGGACGCTGTGGGGGGCTCGGACTGCCGGGTTTGTCCCCACTCTGTCCTTGGTGACACGGAGGGGACAGGGCGCAGGTGGCATCACTCGGGGTCACTGTGGGGGCTCGGACTGCCAGGTTTGTCCCCAGTGGTGACAAGGAGGGGACACGGAGGTGACACGGAGGTGACACGGAGGTGACAGGGCACAGGTGGCATCAGTCAGGGTCACTGTGGGGGCTCGGACTGCCAGGTTTGTCCCCAGTGGTGACAAGGAGGGGACAGGGAGGTGACAGGGCACAGGTGACATCACTCGTGGGATGCTCGGAACTCCAGATTTGTCCCCGCTCTGTCCTTGGTGACAGGGAGGTGACAGGGCACAGGTGGCATCACTCGGGGTCACTGTGGGGTCCAGGACAGCCGGGTTTGCCCTGGAGGTGACACGGAGGGGACAGGGCAGAGGTGGCATCACCCCAGGTCACTGTGGGGAGCTTGGACTGCCAGCTTTGTCCCGGGAAGTGACAAGGAGGGGACACGGAGGTGACAGGGCACAGGTGGCATCACTCGTGGGGAGCTCAGACCGTTGGGTTTGTCCCCGCTCTGTCCCTGGTGACACAGAGGGGACACGGAGGTGACAGGGCACAGGTGGCATCTCTCTGGGTCACAGTGGGGGTGCAGCAGCCCCGGGTGACCCCAAAGTGTCCCCTCTGTCCCCAGCAGTGGCCGCAGGGGTTGGCAGCTCCCTCCTGGCCCTGGTCCTGCTCCTGGGTGCCATCGTGGGCTGGCAGTGCCACCGCAGGGGTGGGTGACAGTGGGGACAATGGGTGGGGACAATGGGGACAATGGGGTGGGGACAGTGGGGACCCACAGACCCTGAACTGAGCCCGCAGTGACCCCGGCTGAGGCTCCTGGGGGGTTTGGGGACATTTGGGGACATTTGGGGACATCACAGGAGGATTTTGGGGGGTCCTAGCGGGTTTTGGGGTCTGGGGGAATTTGGGATTTCAAGCATTTTTTTCGGGTATTTTGGGGCTTTTTGGGTGTCTGGGGGAGGTTGGGATTTTAGGAATTTTTTAGGTGTTTTGGGGGTTCTGGGGAGTTTTGGTGGCACTGGCTGGCATTGGGGGTGGCACTGGGGGACACTGGGTGTGGCACTGGGTGGCACTGGCTGGCATTGGGTGGCACTGGATGGCACTGGGGGTGGCACTGGGGGACCTGGGTGGTGGGGGGGTGACACTGGGGGACACTGGGTGGCACTGGGTGGCATTTGTTGGCACTGGGAGTGGCGCTGGGGGACACTGGGTGGCACTGGGTGGCACTGGCTGGCATTGGGGGTGGCACTGGGTGGCACTGGAAGACACTGGGTGGCACTGGGTGGCACCGAGGGTGGCACTGTGGGTGGCACTGAGGGTGGCACAGGGTCCCCAAATGCCACCCAGGAGACCAAGGAGAAGCGCAGGCACGGGGACGTGGCACCCGTGGGTGGCACTTGGTGGCACCGGTGTCTCCCGCAGGGTCCCCAGGTGCCACCCCCGAGGTCCCCCAGGTGACCTACGCGGAGCTGCCGGGACCGCGGTGGCAGCCGGGGGACGGCGGTGACTACGAGAACGTGCTGTGACACCGCGGTGGCACCAGGGGGTGGCACCGGCTCCCCAAAAGCCACCCAGGGGACAGCGGTGACATCCACGAGGCCGTGCTGTGACACCGGGGGTGGCACTGGGGACAGGCACAGGCGTGTGTCCCCTGATCCTGTGGGTGCCCACCCTGCCCACGGCCACCGGGACCTGTCCCTGTCCTTGTCCCCTCCCTGTCCCTGTCCCTGTCCCCTCCCTGTCCCTGTCCCTGTCCCCTCCCTGTCCCTGTCCCCTCCCCATGGCCACCGTCCCTCTGTCCGTCCCAGCCGCAGGAATTTGGGACAATCCCAAGAACGAGCCCAGAGTGACCCCGGGTGACCCCAGGGGGGTTGGGGACAGCCCCGAGGTCCCCGGGGGTCCCGGGAGCCCCCCCGAGCCCCCCGGTGGGCGGGGATGGGGATGGGGGCACCAGGGGCTGGGCTTTGGTTCCGTCTCCTTTTCTGTTTTCATGGACGAGAAATTCAGCAATGAATTCAACAATGAATTCAGCAG